TTTTTGACTAAGATTTCACAACTTTCATTGACTTACTACTAAGTTTCTAAGACATACGCTTAGGTTTTAAGGACTGCTTTTCAAGATACAGGAGAATTAAGTTTTAGAATTAAGAAGTAAGATGAATTACTAACTCACCCAGCAAATCTTTATTGAGTGCCTAAAATATGCCGGGCCTTTGTGGTTTGAAAATATCTGTTTTAGACCTTATGTCAGTAGAAAGGAAAAAGACAATAATTTATGTTTGTTGTAATTGTTAGTGCCCTGAAGGAAGATTGGGGTCCTAGAGAGAATGGTGGGCGGCTGATGGTGGGGGGTGGGGAGAAGAAACGTAAAGGAGGAGGAGGACATTGGCAGAGACTGAGGACGAGCTGCCAGGAGTAGGTGGCTGGGCGCACACAGCACTCCAGGCCAAGGCCTGCTGAGAGGAGGGAGCTCAGGGGCTTCGCGCCTGGTGAAAGGTCCTGTAGCTGATGGCACAGGGAGTGGGAGGGCGCAGCAATGGCAAGGAGCAGCTCCAGAAGGCGTGTTTAGGGTTTAGTGTTGATCCCAAGTGCGGTAGAAGGCAAAGGAATTTAAGCACAAAGGTGCCTTGCTACATTTTAAAAAGATGGCTCTGTCTGTTCTGGGGAGCGGAGGGATGGGGGCATAGAGAAAAAGAAAAAAAAAAATGCAATTAGGAAGACCAGTAAGGAAACTTGAAGTTGTCCAGCTGAGAGGGGAAGCTGTGCGTATTATCTGCCATGGTCAGGAATGCAGGTACCTATCGACTCCAGAAAGCTAGCCTTGAACTTTGCTCTCATGGTGGCCGATTTTTCAAGTTTAACTTCTGGGCCATAAAACATAAGGATTTCAATATTAACTGGACTACATTATCCAGGATGGAATGAAAGGTGTAATTTTAGAGCTACTTCAAAGAGAAAGACACTCCACACAGAAGAGAGAAAACTAGGGATTGTCAGACTGTGTGGAAAAAGGTAAACAGTGTCTCTACATCCTGCAGTCAATATAAGCATTTTAAGAAAAATGAAAACTAGAGCGGGCGCTGTAGGCTAAGCCTCCGCCTGCAGTGCCAACATCCCACACAGGCAGCGGTTCAAGTCTGAGCTGCTCCACTTCTGAACCTGCTCTCTGATTTGGCCTGGAAAAGCAATAGAAGATGGCCCAAGTGCTTGGGCCCCATCACCAGTGTGGGAGACCTGGAAGAAGCTCCTGACTCCTGGCTTCAGATCAGCCCAGCTCCAGCTGTTGCAGCCATCTGGGAAGTGAACCAGCAGATAGAAGAACCCTCTCTGTCTCTCTCTCTCTGTAGCTCTATCTTTAAAATAAATAAATATTTTTAAAAAGAAATAAAAAGCTGGACTTCTGCTGTTAATGTATGTATTATTACCAAGGGGGACAATATAAAAGAATTAAGCAATGGCACTTCTTCAGTGACAACTGGAGAAACCGAGTGTCCCAGCCAAAAATACCTTTTTTTCAATGAATTGTCACCTTTATTAAGTGACATAAAGCAGTAAAAAATCATGGTGCCATTTGCAGAGTGCTAGGAACATTTGTCACAAACTATTTTAGCAACAGAAAATTACTTTTGCACAAATTTCAATCAGCTTGAATATGTGACCATGAGAACAAACTACAGTCAGCTTTTTCCTTTTTTTTTTTTTTTTTTTTTTTTTTTTTTTTTTGACAGGCAGAGTTAGACAGTGAGAGAAACAGAGAGAAAGGTCTTCCATCTGTTGGTTCACTCCCCAAAATGGCCGATACTGCCGCTGCTGCACCAGTCCAAAGCTAGGAGCCAGGTGCTTCCTCCTGGTCTCCCATGTGGGTGCAGGGCCCAAGCACTTGGGCCATCCTCCACTGCCCTCCCAGGCCACAGCAGAGAGCTGGACTGGAAGAGAAGCAATCGGGACAGAATCCGGCGCCCCAACTGGGACAAGAACCCAGGATGCCGGTGCTGCAGGCAGAGGATTAACCTAGTGAGCCGCAGTGCCAGCCATCAGCTTTTTCGAAGATTGTACATCATTCATCTTTTGCTATTCACCTATAAAAATCATTTAATAGCGGGACCACTGCTGTGGCTTAGCAGGTTAACCTGCTGATTGCTGCACCGGCATCTCATGTGGTTGCTGGTTCGAGTCCCAGCTGCTCCGCTTCCAGTCCAGCTCCCTGCTAATGCACCTGGGAAAGCAGTGGAGGATGGCCCAATGCTTGGGCTCCTGCACCCACGTGGGAGATGCAGAAGAAACTCCTGGCTCCTGTCTTCCAACCAGCCCAACCCTGGCTATTGTGGCCATATGGGGAGGGAACCAGCAGATGGACAATCCCTCTCTCTCCCTCTCCCTATCCCTCCCTCTCTCCCTCTCTCCCTCTCTCCCTCTCTCCCTCTCCCCCTCTCCTCTGCCTTTCAAATAAGTAAATCTTTAAAAAAAAATCATTAATGTCAACCCACAAAGGATTTAAGAATTATTAATGGAAAGTCATCCTTTAATGTTCAAGTCCATTTAAAATCTTTCTACAAATGAGTAAAAAAGATCACTCTGTACTCAACAGAAAAACATGTTCTGATTGCCGAGACTGTTTAAAGGCCCAGGGATTAGGAAATGTGTAGCATGATGCTCGTTGTAAAAGAAGCCCTTTGGAGTGGAACTAGATCCAGGTTTTATTAAGTATGGATTTCCCTGTCTGTGGAATGGAGAGAATACCCATGTCATAGGGTTTGGTTTTTCTTTTGTTTTTCTCTCACAGGGTTTAAAATATTTCAAACAAAATTTTTAAAAAATTATGTTTAGTTGGAGCCAGCACTGTGGCGCAGCGGGTTAAGGCCCTGGTCTGAAGCGCCGGCATCCCATATAGGCGCCAGTTCGAGTCCCGGCTGCTCCTCTTCTGATCCAGCGCTCTGCTAATGGCCTGGGAAAGTAGTGGAAGATGGCCCAAATCCTTGGGCCCCTGTACCCGCGTGGCAAACTCAGAAGAAGCTCCTGGCTCCTGGCTTCGGATCGGTGCAGCTCCAGCCGATGCGGCCATCTGAGGAGTGAACCAGCGGATGGAAGACCTCTCTCTCTTTGTCTCTGCTTCTCTCTGTAACTCTTTCAAATAAATAAAATAAATATTTTTTTAAAAATTGTTTAGCACATTAGCTGGCACATGTCTGAGTAACTGAGTACCTATCCCCCTTTTTCTCTAGAGCCAAAGATGGCAAACTTGATTAAAAGATCACCACATTCTTTCGCTGTCTTCCCATCGAGAAATGAGGCTTACGTCTCCTCCCCTTCAATCAGGGCTGGCGGGCGCTGCTTCACCAGTAGAACACGGTGCAAGTGGTACCATCCCAGTTTTCCAGTACCAACCTTTAAGTGACTGGCAGCTTCCACATGCTGTCTCTTGAAATATTTGCTCTCAGACTCAACCCCCGTGGTGTGAGAAAACCCAAGCATCCCCAGGAAGACCGACACATGGAGAAGAGCTCGGTCCATCCACAACTGAGCTCCTAGCCGAGAGCCAAAACTAATCTGCCTGTTGCTTGCAGGAGCTCCTTGGAAGAGCCCCCTCTAGCTCCATTCCAGCTGCACCAACTGATGCCAAGTGCCAGGCCCTGCCCAAACTGCAGATTATTAAGCAAAATAATTGTTCTAAGCCCTAAGTTAGAGCTGGGAGGACTTGTTAACAGCAATAGACATTTAGAGCAGAGAGTATATAAAATCAAGTTCCCTTTGTCCTCCACTCAGACTCCAATGACTTTGGGAGGGTGGGCAAGTTCATTTAGTCCAGAAATAAGTGTGGCATGTAGAGAAAGTAGGTCATGGGGAAATCTGCTGCTTTGCTCTGAGTTGTGTGACCAGTGTTTGGCCAAACAGGACTCTGTCCCTTATTCACTTTTTTAGATGCCGTCTTCCACCTTGATCTTACATTGTATGCAGTTGTCTCTGTAACCACCTTTTTAAAAAAAAAAAAAAAAAAGATTTTATTTATTTATTTGAGAGGTATAGAGTTACAGACAATGAGAGACAGAGAGAAAGGTCTTCCTTCCGTTGGTTCACCCCCAAAATGGCCGCTACGGCCGGAGCTACACCAATCCGAAGCCAGGAGCCAGGTGCTTCCTCCTGGTCTCCCATGCGGGTGCAGGGGCCCAAGCACTTGGGCCATCCTCCACTGCCCTCCCGGGCCACAGCAGAGCTGGACTGGAAGAGGACTAGCCGGGACTAAAACCCGTGCCCATATGGGATGCCGGTGCCTCAGGCAGAGGGTTAGCCAAGTGAGCCCCGGCGCAAGCCCCTCTGTAACCATCTTAAGTTTCAAATCCTGACATTATTTTATGTCCATTCGGAAGTCTGTTAATTGATTCGGGCTGGTTCTCTGACCCTAGGTCCCTCTAGCCACAGACCACACCTTCGGGCAAAAGCTATCAGGCAGACTCATAATGCTTAGTGGTCCGATCAAATCAGCTGGAATCCTTTTTCAAACACTGGCCGTTTGGGAGGGGATTTTCCCTGCGGCAGGCTTATCTGATTTACTCAACGTGGTTCAACTTTTGACTTGGATAATTAGCCAAAGGAGCCATTTACTGAGACATCTTCATGCTGTAAATGACCCAATTTCATTTCTTGCGGTGTGACTGTCTTTCCACGAGGGGGGGTGTGGCTGTGCTGCAAGTCAGATTTCTGTACTCCGGTTCAACAGATAAGGAACTGACTCTCAAGCGACTCAGCAACTTACAGTGCTTTTAAAATATGCTTTAAACTGGCCTTTTTAACCCCAATTTGTAAGCGAGGAAACTGAGGCTCTAGGCTTTGTCACCCACAAACCCCAGACGATGTGAGACAGCAGCTACAGACACTGCACACCGAGCCCCACCACCCATCCCCGGGAAGCTCCAGTATTCCTGGACTTCCTCTCCCTTTTTTGTCCCGCCCCTGACGTCGGGGAACGCGCTCCTATGATTGGCCAGAGCTCGCGAGACAGCGGAAGAGGCACGGGTTGCTATGGAAACGGGGGCGGGGCGCGGGACCCAGAGGTCAGTAACCGACGTCTGGACTTGAGCGGCGGCGGAGGTGGCGCGCGCTGAGTGGCCTGACTGGGCGAAGAAGCCCGGCCGACGCGTGGCCGCCGCCGGGGAAGCTGAGGCCGAGTCTCCCTCGCAGGTGCTGACCCGGCTGAGTCGTGAGCGGGTCGCAGCCTGGAGGCGAGGCCTCTTCCCCGCCGGCCGACCGCTGTGCCCTCGATGCGGGTGAGGACTCTGCGGAGCGAAGCGGGGGCTGGGCCCAGGCTGCGGGCGGCGTAGTGGATGCGGCGAGGACGGCGATGGACGCCTTAGAGGAAGAGAGCTTTGCGCTGTCCTTGTGAGTGACGCCGCTGGGGTCCGGGCGGCGGGCGCGGGCCGCTGCCCTGCAGGGGGCTGACCTCGGGATCGGTGGAGGCGGCTGCTGCGGCCGCGGGACACAGCCGTGCGGAGTGGGTGTCAGCCGCTGTCACAATCCCCAGGCGTCCCACCGTTAGCGGGCAGCCGAGCCTGGCGGGTGTGGGCGGCCGAGGCCCGCTCTCCTCCTCCTCCTCCTCCTCCACCCCCGGGGGAGCCCTGACCCAATTCCCTCCCTGCCCAGTCCTCCACCTGCGCCAGGTTCACGCTTAGAGCGGACAGGCGTGGCGTGATAGCGAAGATGCGGTGAGTGATTCCGCAGCAGGCCGGTGCGGGGAGCCTGCCGGTGTTTGCGCCTTGGGTAATTGATGGTGTCCTGCCACGTGTGCTGAGAGCAGACCCCGTGCATTTAAACTTTATGTCACAGGTGTTTGGAATTGCTGGTTTCTACAGAAGTCGGTCACCCTCGTTGACGCTGGGTGGCAGGAAGCTTGCTTTGCCTTTTCTTTTGTTTCTCTTGTGCATGTTGGGAAATGTCCATAATAACACATCTTTTAAACAACGGATTGTGTGACCCGGCGCCTAATTCAGGCCTTGTCTTGCAGCTCCTCCGCCTCCGATGCAGAGTTTGACGCTGTGGTTGGATATTTAGAGGACATTATCATGGGTAAGCGTCCACGCCACAGCCTGGCCTGGGTTCTCTCTAGTGCTCCGTGCTTTTCGGGACACTGAAGTGTTTAGAAGAACCGTGCCCTGCGTGCTCTGTAGTGTAGGACAAGGTAACGCGAGGTCGGCCTTGCTGCAGTTTGCCTTAGAAACGAACAGCCCCTTGCACCTGGCAGCAACCTCCGGGAGAGACTGGGGCAGGGAGCGATTGTTTGGCCAAGCTCCAGCGAACGTGGACCTGCTCTGTGTCATCTGTAGGGTAAGAGCGAGGTGGTTTTTAGATACATTGGAGTTTAGTATATTCCTGCCGAAAAATGGCGTGTAACCAGCCACAAGCACACATGTCCATGAAGTAGACAGTGTCAGACTTGAGCTGCTTCTGTATCTTGCTGGGTTTTGAGCACCTGTCTGTGCATGCATTTTTTTTTTTTTTTTTTTGACAGAGTGGACAGTGAGAGAGAGAGACAGAGGAGACAGAGAGAAAGGTCTTCCTTTTGCTGTTGGTTCACCCTCCAGTGGCCGCCGCACTGATCCGATGGCAGGAGCCAGGTACTTATCCTGGTCTCCCATGGGGTGCAGGGCCCGAGCACTTGGGCCATCCTCCACTGCACTCCCTGGCCACAGCAGAGAGCTGGCCTGGAAGAGGGGCAACCGGGACAGAATCCGGCGCCCCAACCGGGACTAGAACCCAGTGTGCTGGCGCCGCAAGGCGGAGGATTAGCCTAGTGAGCCGCGGCGCCGGCCCTGTGCATGCATTTTGTCCTCTGTAACTCTTGCTGAGTTACAAACAAGCAGTCACAGGCCCCAAAGGTTGGAAGCAAACATGTAGGAGGGAGAAATTTTTAGTGTCTTCTATTGGCTTTTTTTTTTTTTTTAAGATTATTTATTTGAAGGGCAGAGAGGCAGAGGCAGAAGCAGAGATAGAAAGAGAGTCTTCCATCTGCTGGTTCACTCCCCAAATGGCTGCAACGGCCAGAGCTGGGCCAATCTGAAACCAGAAGCCAGGAGCTTCTTCCAGGTCTCCCACATGGGCGCAGGGGCCCAAGACTTGGGCCATCTTCTGCTTTCCCAGGCCATAGCAGAGAGCGGGATTGGAAGCAGAGCAGCCAGGATTTGAACAGGCGCTCATATGGGATGCCGGCACTGCAGGCAGTGGCTTTACTCACTACGCCACAGCACCAGCCCCTCTATTGGCTTTTAAGTTTCCTGAGAATTAGGGAAAGAACTCTGTTATTTGGTGGTGTTGGCTGAGTAGCTGAGTCTGTTTCGTCTGATAGTCATTGTGTGAGGCTTAAGTCCATTGAAGGTTCATGTCCTGTCACCTAGATACAGCTGCTCACCATTGCACTCTCCATGCAGATCTGAGGATTGCAGGGGAACTCACGGAATCCGCATAGTTCTCTTGCCAGTAAGCCTATATGCTGCGGAGAAATGAGCCAGCCGTCTGCAAGCCCTGGATATCCACCCCGACGTCTAGGTCCTTTCCGAAGCTCCCTGGTGTTTTAGAAATAATATTCTATTGCATTGTTAAAGTGTTCTATGCCCCAACAGAGGGTCAGGTTCCCTATGAACTAATCTCCTCACATGAATTCTCACGTGAATTCCACCCAGCAGCCCTACCTGTAGTTAGCTGCTACAAATCCTCCTCCTCTTCCAGGCGAGTGCCTGGGCCAGGTGTGAGCCCAGCATCTGCCCTCTGTCCCGTACTTGTAATGACTGCCCTGTCGCGGAGACTGCTGCTGACAGTGCGTTAAACTGAGAGACCCAATGCATTTCGTCACAGAAACGTGCCAGGAAAGAGTCCCCACGCCACCTCGTGCACAGGTGTTCCACATGGGCTGGAGGGTGGGGGTGACGGTCCCCCAGCAGTGTGAGCGGCTTAGGACCCGGAGCTGTACTCTCCACATGGCCTCGGGCCAGATTTTACGCATACGTGGCCACAATTTAAGAAGTCTGGCTGGGACTGTTTCAGCATCACGATCCCCTTTACCAGCTGCCTGAGAACCCACTTGCTCCCTGTGCAGTGGCTGTGGGGACGCAGCACCGCCGACTCCGCCCACAGAGCAGGGTGGCTTTGTCGTTGGTGAAAGGTTAGCTGTCCCCTTGTGCTTCAGATGACGAGTTCCAGCTGCTACAGAGAAATTTCATGGACAAGTACTACCAGGAGTTCGAAGACACTGAAGAGAATAAACTCACCTACACGCCTATTTTTAACGAATATGTAAGCAGATTTTTTTTCTTTTCCTACCAGATTAGGGTTTCCTTAAAATTTGAATTTGGAATCAAAAGGGGTTGACATTTGCTTTTTACTTTAAATACACCACCAGTTGAAAAGTGAGAGTGAATGCTGAGACCACCTCGTCCCTGCACCCACTCCCAGCACTCAGTGCTGGAACCCAGGAACCTGCCCTCCTCACCCCTTCGCAGCCTCCTGGGACGACCTCATGTGACTAGGAGTAGATTCGAGCCTCCGGGGGCTGGCATGGCTGAAGCAGCCTGCTCTCGGGGGACCCGTGACTGCCTCCATGGGGTGCTTCCTTATACACATCCTGTTTGACAGTAGGCCCCACAGAGTCCACTCCCCACTCCCCACTCCGTGCCTCCTGCACTGTGTCCGCCTGGGTCAGGGCCGTCACCTGGTACAGCGTGAATTCCTGCAGGTGTCTCCGCACTGGCACTCAGCAGAGCCCGACACGGACCAGGATCTCGGCCAGCGTTTGCCAGGGGCTGGAGGACAGGCGTTCTGGAAAGAAGTCTTGTTTCCCCAGGCCTGGTCTGACCGAGAGCCTTTCCCCTGTGGCAGATTTCTCTGGTGGAAAAGTACATTGAGGAGCAGCTGCTGGAGCGGATCCCGGGCTTCAACATGGCGGCTTTCACGACGACGCTGCAGTGAGTTGGCGTGGCTGGATTCTGTTTCCCTCCTTTCTCCTTCCCTAGCCTGAACATCAGACCGTCTCTTTTCTTCTTTTTTAATGTGAGAGCAGTTGGTGCTTAGGTTTGGGGTGGGAAGCCTTCAGAAACTTGAATGGGGGCAGGCATTGTGGTGTACTGGGTTAAAGCTGCCGGTCGGGTCGCCCACGGCGCACGTCAGAGCGCCTGGTTGGAGTCCAGCCCCACCTCGCTGGTTCACCTTCCTGCCAGTGCGCCTGGGAAGTAGAATGTGACGCCCAAGTGCCCGAGTCCCTGCCACCACAGGTGTTCCTGACTCCTGGCTTTGGCCTGTCCTGGCCCAGGCCGTTGTGGGCATTTGGGAACTGAACCCTGAACGGAAGATCCCTTTCTCTCTGTCTCTCCCTCTCTCTGCCTTTCAAATAAATACATCTTTGCTTTCTTTGTGAAGCATTTGAGTGAAATGTTAGACAGTTTCATCGTTCATGAAGCAGCCATCCTTACCTTCTGCAGGCACCATAAAGATGAAGTAGCTGGTGACATATTCGACATGCTGCTCACATTTACAGACTTTCTGGCTTTTAAAGAAATGTTTCTGGACTACAGAGCGGTAAGTAACTGCTGTCTGTTCACTCCGCCACATCACCCCTCCTTAGGATGTTCTAGTAGAACCGAGGGGAACAGACCACCTCCTGCACTGCCCTTGTCTTCCCCACTTTTAAACAGGCTAGTCTAAGGAGACAGGCACTTAGCCTCTTTATTTTATTTTATTTTATTTTATTTTATTTTTTTAAAATTTTTGACAGGCAGAGTGGACAGAGAGAGAGAGAGAGAGAAAGGTCTTCCTTTTTGCCATTGGTTCACCCTCCAATGGCCGCCGTGGCCGGCGCATTGCGTTGATCTGAAGCCAGGAGCCAGGTGCTTCTCCTGGTCTCCCATGGGGTGCAGGGCCCAAGCACTTGGGCCATCCTCCACTGCACTCCCGGGCCACAGCAGAGGGCTGGCCTGGAAAAGGGGCAACCGTGACAGAATCCGGCGCCCCGACCGGGACTAGAACCCGGTGTGCCGGCACCGCAAGGCAGAGGATTAGCCTAGTGAGCCGCAGTGCCAGTCAGGCGCTTACCCTCTTTAGACTCCTCGTGGTTAAGGCTGCTGCACATGGGACTATTGTGACGGTGTAGCGAGTACAACCGCTGCCTGCCTGTGATGCCAGCATCCCATATGGGCGCCAGTTTGAGTCCCAGCTGCTCGACTTCCGATCCCTGCTAATGCTCCTGGAAAAGCAGTAGAAGATGGCCCAAGTGCTTGGGCCCCTGTCCCCGCGTGGGAGACATGGGAGACCTGGGAGAAGCTCCTGGTTCCTGGCTAGGGTCTGGCCCAGTCCCTGCCGTTGCGGCCATTTGGGGAGTGAACCAGCAGATAGAAGATTTCTCTCTCTCTCTCTTTCTCTCTCTCTCTGTCTCTCTCTCTCTCTCTGTCTCTCTCCATATATATAACTGCCTTTCAAGTAAAATTTAAAAAAAATACCTTAAAAAAAATTCCTGCTGATCAGAGTACCTGGGTTCAACACCCAGCTCAGACTCCTGACTCCATGTTCCTGCTAACGTAGGCCCCGGGAGGCAGCAGGGACAGCTGTCACATAAGTGGGAGAACCAGATTGAGTTCCTGGGCTCCCAGCTCCAGCTGCTGTGGGCATGTGCAGAGCAAACCACTGGATGGGGACTCGCCTTCTCACTGTCTTTGTCTGCCTCTCAAATATTTTTTTAAAATGAAATTTTTTTAAACTGACCAGTATAGCAGTGAGTTAGCTAACTGAGCTACAGGTAGACTCTGGCCAAGAACTATTTGTGTTCTGGTGAAACAGGCCACAGGTACCATCTTAGGCACCCAAAATAAACAGGACAAAAACACAAAAAGGGCTGATTCTGTTTTGCCTCTTAGAATGCAGTGAAGACAGGTACATTTTTAAGACTGACCGTGCCAGTGTTGAGCAGAAAGGCAAAATAATCTCCCTCCCCTTCCTGTGTGCTCCCAGGGGCCCACGTGTCCGGGCCACTCCTCCCCATGCCAGAGCAGGGTCTTGAGCCAGAAAGGGCTCTTGCTGTCCCTTGCTTCCTAAAGCTGTTTCTTTTCCTCTGCAGGAGAAAGAAGGCCGGGGACTGGACTTGAGCAGTGGTTTAGTGGTGACTTCGCTGTGCAAATCGTCTTCCATGCCAGCGTCCCAGAACAATCTGCGGCACTAGCCCCGCCCAGGCAGTGGATGGGCTCGTTGTGTGTCGCCAGCCCAGCAGGCGCAGAGGGGCTTCAGGCCGTGAGAACAGAATACATCTTGGAAAGACTGTTTCTGTTCTGCAGCTCTTCATCCATGTTAAGTACTGGGTCAGGAACTTGCCTGGCCCTGCCGGATCTGCCCCTCTCAGACACTTCCTGTATTCAGTACCGTAGGAGCCCTCCCCTCCCTGCCCAAGCCTGCCCTCCCCCTGGTGCTTCCGAGGAGACCCCTCTGGAGCAGGCTTATGCCAAGCGTTCCCCCAGGTCAGCACAGCAATGCAGAGTAGCCCACCGTGGCAGCCCTTGGCCCAGCAGGCTCCGCAGGAGTCTTTCCATGCAGCTCTGTTGACACGGGTCAGGGTCCTTCAGCTCTAGGCCGGTTCCCGAGCCAGCTGCCGGTCCCTCTACGACTCCTGACTCCTGCGGTCGCAGCGTGTCTTGGCTGTGGGGATCAAACAGCCACGTGCGAAAATCCGCTCCGGGGCGTCCATCTGCAGTCCTCCTTTCATTTTCTTTTCTGGCCCTGATGCAGTCCCACTGTTAGAGTCTCTTGTAAGCATTTTTTAAAGATATTTTTCTAGGTGAACACTCAGGCTATCTTGGTATAATCTTGGAACTGCCATGATGGCCCACTTAAAGATCAGAGTATTATATGCCGTGCCCTCGTTAGCTGTCAGTGCTGGGACGGCAGAGCTGCCTTTGGCGTTGTGACCCCGTTGTAGTGGGGCCCGTGGACGCCCTGAAGAGACCAGCAGCTGTCCCGTCCTGCAGTGTGCTCCGGTTTGTCCACTGTTGCCTACAGTGCTTTCTGTGTAAGCTGTTCTGTTGGGTTTCTGTTGGGGTAGGCGGGGACTGATTTCCTCGTCAGGATCTCCCGCCGACATGGTGTCCCAGTGGTCAAGCTCAGCATGAGCAGGCTCGGTCAGCGTCCACCTTGGTTTGGTGTAGTGTTTGGCTGAACGTCACTGACGTCACATGTGTCTCACCTCCAGACAAAAGAGACAGTATAGTAGTTCAGTCCTAATGTGCACCCCCTTTTTTTTAAAAAAGTAAAAATAAGAATCTTTGCTGACTTTGCGCTTGGCTGTTCTGGTTGTAAGGATGTGCCATGAGCTGTGTTCTGTCCTGGCGTGTCCCTCACTACTTTTGTACCTTGAGTAAAATGTGAGATGTTTTGCAAGAACCATCGTTCTGGATGAGTTGTCCGCTGTCTTAAACGCAGCTGCCGCCGCCTGCTTCCTGCTCTGGCCCTCAGAGGCAGCTCTGTGCTGAGAGAGAGGCTGCCCACCGCGGGCCGGGCGTGCCAGGGCGGGCAGGTGCAGAGAGAAGAGGACGCCAGGCTGTCGGTCAGCACTGCGAGTGGGCTTTCTGGAAACCTGTTTCTCCCATCCGGGCAAAACGTGTCACGTGCCAGCTATTGACAGGGCGCAGGCCTGGCCTCTGGGGCGCAGGCCTGACCTGCCGCAGCCTCAGGAGGGGACTGTCGTTTGCAGGGAACCCCTCACCCAGCTGCACTGGAGTCTCGGGAGTGACCGAGCACGTCGGTGAAACAGGCTGTGTTCTGCCTGTGTCGGATGAGGGGTGGGGCACGCTCTGATTGGCTTAGGATTTTGTTTTCTCTTAAACCTCAAAGTAGGTTGCTCTTCCTTAAAACTCAACTCTTCCCTTTTGGCTCCCCCCGGGAGGGCCCCCATTTTTTTTTTCCCCCCATCACCTTTGCATACCAGGACGGGGGGGGGGGGGGGGGGGGGACACTAGGCGTGTTCCACATGACTGGGACAATGGGTGCCCCCCTAATAACATCGCTGCCGGCCATTTTCATTGGTCCCACTTTCTATAAAAGGACAGCGTGGTGCCCAGAGGCCTATGGCTCACTGTCCAGGGAGCGGCTCCATGGTGTTAGCAGAGTGAGCCTGGGGGACTTGGCTGCTTTCCCCTCCGCAGGCCCAGCCGCCTTGATCACCTCACGCTTACAGGGTAGATGGCACTGAAACAGCGATTCAGTACGATCACCTGCCTTGCCTAAACCAAGGGGAAGGAACTTCCGGTTACAGCGGGACACCTTTGAGAATAAAGGGTGGTGTTAGTCAGTCTTTGCCAGAAGCAAAGTCCTAAGCCAGGGTGGTGGGCTGGTGGTGCTGGAACCTCACTGAAGTCACAGAATCATCTAGAACCATGAGTCCCCAACATCTTTTCCAGGTAAGTTCTTCCATCTTTATTTTTGTAAAAAAAAGAAAAAGAAAAACAAAGACAACGAAGTCACCACCTAGCACAGGCTGGCTCACCCGCATGGCCGCAGTCCCTCCCTCCACGTCTCCTGTGGCTGACCAGTGGCGTCGGGGAAGCAGTTGGCTTTCACGCTAGCCTTCCCAAAGGGAGTGTTATAAATAAGGGCTTGGGAACGGGAAGGGAACAGGAGGGATTCCGTCTTGGAGAAGTCTGAGTGACGTGTGTGTGCAGAACGCAGAGGGACACCACGGCTGCCGGGGAGCGCAGCCTGTGCTGGGCGCGGCCCGGAGTCGGGTCTAGAGGACTCTGCGGGGTGCTGGGAGCTTGCTCAGCCCTCCCGGAACAGGGGCTGAGAAATAGGAGTTGCTGGTTAGGCTAATCCTGTGGCGGGCCTGGCGTCTGTTAGTGCAGTTAGTGCCGGGGAGAAGGCTGGGCCCCGAATCGGACACTGCAGGGTAAAGAAGGCAGAGACCGGGAGAGCCCCACCCCCATCCCCTCCTGCTGAGAGGGGCGAGGCCAGGCGGCCTCAGCCCCGCCCCGCGGCAGGTGCCAGGTGCCGGCAGGCCTCAGGAGTTTCCTCAGGAGTCTTGTGAGAGCTTGCGTCCCGGGACACCGTGACCCAGCAGTGGCTTCGCCCCAGGACAGGCCAGGACGCGGGCTTCAGGCGTAGCCCCCGGCCATCTGACTGGTGGCCGCGTTGCTGCCCACTCCACGCCACGCCTGGAAGCTGAAGAACGTGCTCACCCCGTAGGCAATCATCACTAGACAGGCAAAGAACTGCAAGAGAAGGGGGAGGGGGGCCGAGGCTGAGTGTGGCTGAGCAGGGCCCTGGAGGAGGGCGACGGTGAGAGCGGCACACCTGGGTCTCCGGCGTGGGGCCGGGGGAGTGAGTGGCCCTGGCAGCCGACCCCTGCTGCGGGCAGATGTGCGCCAGGTTCTGGGGAGGGAGGCGGATGTTACATTCCCAGCAGGGAGTCGGCTGAAAATCACCCAGGCGAGGGGTGGCAGACGGCCGTAAAGGCACTAAGAGCAAGGGAAGATAGCAACCTGGGCCAGGTGCCACCAGTGGCTGAGGGGCAGGGATGCCCAGACACACCTGGCTAAAGGATAACACTCAAAGGCCACCCCTAGGAAGTTTCTAGACCCTGTTCATAACACTTGAACCAATGCTACGTTCAGAAGCTCTGGGTCTCTGTCCCCACGGTGGAGTTTACCCGACTTCAGAACCACCCTCACCAGAGGAGAAGGGAAGCCCACGCATTATTCCAGAGCCGGCCCTCTCCTTGTCTTGAGTGTGACTCAGGCCTCTTTCTTAGCATCTCTGGGTTGCCGCTTCCTTGTCTACTGACAGGGAGTCAGGCCCTTCCTCCCTGGTGAGGGGAGGGGAGGCGTGCAGGGCCTCATGGAAGTGAAGTGACCGGTGTGGAGGGGCCGGCGGCCACTGGACTTGGGCTCTACAAGCGGGGCGCCTGTAAACCCTGCACATGGCTTTAACCTAAGGGCTTTGCAGGGAGGGGGCACACCCAGTGTTGAACCTTGTGCGAGAGGCCGTGTGAGCACAGCTGATCTACAGCAGCGTTCCACAGGCACCCTGAATGTTCCTTTGGCCACCACAAACCATTCCCCAAGCATCCCCACTCCCCAAGGCTTTACTGCTGATTAACGGAGCCCAAAGCAGCCCGGCCCCCTGTGAGGCCCACTTGCAGGTTAGGTGACGGCTGCTTGGGAGGTGCCAGGTGCCTGGCCTCTGACTAAAGGGGCAGAGGGAGCTGGGAGGCCTGGTCCCGTCTCCCCTGTAGACAGCCAAGGAGGCCCCGGGAACCACACTCACAGAGGCAGCCGCTCGCTGGTTGTAGGGCCGGCTGCCCTTCAGGGACGTCAGGTCCACCACAGCAGAGCAGGTGATGAAGGCGGTGATGTAGAGCACGGTGGCGCTGGCGTTAAAGACCATCAGCTGGTGGGGCGAGGAGACAGGCCTGAGATGAACAAGCTCACAGTCCCCGACCCCGCGGAGCTGCTTAGCAAAGGTGGGGATGGAGACACCATGAGAGGCAGCCATCCCCCTTGGGTCAGCCTGGAAGCTGTCTGAGCAGGTGCACAAACACCCTAAGACTGAGTGGTGGGGGCCGGCGCTGTGGCGTAGCAGGTAAAGCCTGCTATGCCACCTACAGTGCCAGAGATCCGGCTGCTCCACTTCCAAAGTATCCAGCAGAAGATGCCCCAGGTGCTTGGGCCCCTGCATCCATGTGGGAGAGCCAGAGGGAGCTCCTGGCTCCTGGCTTCGGATCGGCCCAGCTCCGGCCATTGCAGCCACTTGGGGAATGAACCAGCGGATGGAAGACCTCTCTCTCTCTCTGCCTCTGCACCTCTCTAACTGCCTTTCGAATAAATACATCTTAAAAAAAAAAAAAAGACTGAGCGGTAGAGGGAGAAATGATGAGATGGCCTCAAGGATTGGGTCAGAGACACTGCCAATCCCACCAGGCAAAAACTCTTCCCCAGGGTGACCCATCTCGGTGCCAGCTGCTCCTCCCCGTGTGGCTCAGGGCTGAGCCCAGGCCCCAGCACCACTTGGCTCTGCAACGGGTCCTAGGGGTCGGGCCCCCATATCCCTCCTGCCCCCCATGGGAGGAATCTTGGCTCCCTCTTAGCCACATGTGAGGTGCAGGGGCCCAGGGCAAAGGCTGCAAAAAGGTCCATAGTGAGACCCAGATGCTCCCAATGGGCTACCAAGGTGGGCAGGAAGGGGCCCTTACAGGGCAACCCAGGCCCTGGGCTCAGAGCCAGCTTGTGGTCTAAGCTGTTGGCCCTCAGAACATTTGTCCCATAGGTCTTTGTTTCTAATTACTAACATTTCAAAATTAAGATTTCATATGAAAACCTGAAGATCTTCTTTTTTAAAAATTTTATTTATTTGAAAGTCAGAGTCACACAGAGGAGAGGCAGAGAGAGAGAGAGGTCTTCTATCCACTGGTTCACTCCCTGAATGGCCGCAACAGCCAGAGCTGTGCTGATCCGAAGCCGGGAGCCAGGAGCATCTTCCAGGTCTCCCACGTGGGGACAGGGGCCAAGGACTTGGGCCATCTTGTACTGTTTTCCCAGGCCACAGCAGAGAGCTGGATTGGAAGTGGAGCAGCCTGTTCTCGAACTGGCGCTCATATGGGATGCCAGCGCTTCTGGCCAGGTCGTTAACCTGCTGTGCCACAGCGCCAGCCCCTGAAGATTGTCAGTTCTCATACTGAGGTGGGCATTTGACACAGCAGTTAAGATGCCACGTGGACACCCCCATTGCCCATCAAAATGCCCAGGCTGCAGCCCCTGCCTCACTCCCAATTCTAGTCTCCTGCTAATGTGCACCCTGGGAGGTGGCAGAAGATGGCTTAAGAACTTGGGTCCTGGGGCCATCACTGTGGCGTGGTGGGCAGAGCCACTGCCAGTGGTGCCAGCATCCCATATGGGTGCCAGCTCAGGTTCTGGCTACTCCACTTCCAATCCATCCTTCTACTAATGCGCCTGGAAAAGCAGCAGAAGATGGCCCAAGTGCTTGGGCCCCTGCATCCACATAGGAGACTGAAGAAGCTCCAGGGTTCGGACCGGCCAAGCTCCAGCCATTGCGGCCCTTTGGGGAGTGAACCAATGGATGGAAGATCACCATATGGGTGCCAGTTCAAGTCCCGGCTGCTCCACTTCCCATCCATTTCCCTGCTAATGTGTCTGGGAAAGCAGCAGAAGATGGTCCAAGTGCTTAAGGCCCTGCATCCGCGTGGAGACCCAGAAGAAGCTCCTGACTCCTGCTTTGATCTGGCCCAGCCCCAGCCATTGCAGCCATCTGGGGAGTGAACCAGCAGATGGAAGATCTGTCTCTCTGTAACACTGCTTTTCCAAATAAAAAATCTTAAACAACAACAACAACACTTGGGTCTTGGGTCCCTGCCAAATGTGTGGGAGACCTGG